CCTCAGCCTGACAGAAACAGATAGTGACTCTCTATTGGTAATCCTTACTGTGTGTCTCTATGGGAGCTTTGTACAGGGACCTCCAGCTGCCCCTGAAGCGTATTACAGGTACAGTAGACAAAGCAACACCTCCGACTATTCATAGTTGATGTGTTTGAAAAGATAATAATAGTGATCCTTCAGCAATGATGGGAAGTCAGGCAAAGAGATTAACTGTTTACCTGCAGAATGAGTCCTGATTACATCTAACAGGACAAACAATCCTGACTTTATGACTACAGAAGTTACTGAGACCTCACCCCAGTTTCCTGATCCAGCCTGGCTGCATTTTCTGCTTCCCTGCAGACCTCAGACCCGCCACTGCTGTTACAAGGTACCCTTGAACACTAACAGAGCCAACAATTGTCCAAGTGTGGAGAATCCACTGGTGAAAAAAAGTCTATGTCTGGCTGGTCAAGGAGAACTTTAAAATAGCATCTATGCTACTCTGTGAAGTAACATGGACGCCATTTAAAACCAAGGTGTTTGCTGTTTATGATAGAGATGCTGCTGCTATGCGTCGCAGCCAAATAGCAAAATTCTGCTATGTGGCTACAAAAGTCGATCAGACCCCGCCCCCTCCAAAACAGGAAGGAGTCTTACGCAAAGAAATTTTGCATTTTTTTTCTATTTCCTTCATTTGTGTCTCGGGAGGTTCTACAGCAATACAATAGTGTCACATTGTTCTTCAGTTAAAAATTCTGTATTCTGATTTCATAAGCAGCCTATTTAACTCCCGAGAGTACTTTAAAATAACTCTCTGAATTAAAAGCAGGTTTTTTTTTCAGTTATACCTTTTATAATAACTGTTGTGTGTTTTATGTGTTGCTGCCAGAAAACTAATTTGTTTTTCCTTCCCAGTCACGAGCTATGTCATCAAAATCGTTTTTTTTTTCCTCACACTGACTCAGAAGTCAGAGAAAAACTAACAAGAAAAGCTTGTTATGATTTAGTCATGCATTGCAATCGCCGTAAGGTAATGTCGGAGGCCAAACCAGTCATATCGTTGCTTTAGTTAAGCTAATGTTTATGTCTGATTAACATAAATCCTGGACAGTTTATGAGGGGAGGATTATTATTCAAGGAAATCAGAATACCAGAAGCAAACCCATGCAATCAGAGGGAGAAGAGGCAAACCCTGCACAGAAGGGCCACAGCCAACAGGTTCAGACCCTGATGTTGTGATGTGACGGTGCTAACCACCACATCACTGTGCTCACCGGACCACAGACATGTCATCCCAAGCTCAACCAACAGGTAAAGCAAGAGCAAGGCAACAATGACCATTAGAGAGCCATCAGTCTAACCCATGCTGGCAACCCTCATTAGAGAAGGATGATACAACCCAAGCATATAAAACACAATTAACCTAGTTAAACTCTCTAAGTCAAGAAATTATATGATTAAATTAAAATCAAGAAATACACTCCAAAAGCTTCAAACACTCAAAACTCTCACACTCAGAGCAGGATTCTAACTCAGCGGGAGCTTTTAGAAGAAAACGATGATCTCAGAGCTTAGATCAATACTCAGCCACACTGATAACATTTTTTTAAAGCTTACCTTTTCCTGGTTTTAGCATGGTGTTGCAGCCGAAGTCAGTGATCTTGACCACCATACGGTTGTCGACAACACAGTTGGAGGACTTGAGGCGGCCGTGGACTGCAATATTGCTCGAGTGGAGATATGACATGCCCTATCGAATATATACAGCAGAGCAGTGGTTATTATTTGCTATTTCAACAATTTTTTATCATGTGTTCCGGTTGTTTTTTCTCTTAAGAAAATCCTGAAATTATATGTTGCTGAAACAAAATATGTGCTGGAGGTGCTTTAA